CCATCGACCCGCCGTCCTCCCCCTTCGCCTTCGCCCCCCGCTGCCTCCGCCTTGGCCCCCACCACCCTCTCCTGGAGGTGAGGGGCTGCCTTTCCACACCGGGCGAGCCCCCCCGGGCCTGGTCTGCGTGGAAAGGCAACGTCCGTGCTCCCTCAGAGCCCGTCTCGGGCCTGGGCCTCCGAGCCCTGCTCTAGACAACAGCTGTGCTCCCTCAGAGCCTCTTCCCAGCACGGCCTGTCTCTGTGGAGAAGAAGGGTTTGCTCTGTGGAGGCCGGCCTGCCAGCCCACAGCCTCTCTCTCTGCTCCTCTCCTAGGATGGGGACGTTCACAGGCACCTCTACCTCCAGGGTGTCCTCACCAGTCTCGGGGAGGTGGCGGAGAGACCCAAGTAAGTGAGGCAGGGCCTACGTACTGCCCCAGCACGGTGGTGGCAGGTGTGCCTCTTAGTTCATATGTCCCGCTCCTTCTCATGTCAGCATGTGGCACTGAGCCCTGTTAACTCGCGTTGTGTAGGTGCAAGATTGGGATGGGTGCTGTTCCTCTTGTCCGTTGGCTTTAGCAGCTGAGGAGAATAAGTTAAAAGGGAGAAAGCACGGGCACACTGCAAGACATTTTTATTTTGCCCCTCTACTGTGCTCTGGTGAGACCCCACCTGGAGTACTGCATCCAGCTCTAGAGCCCCCAATATAAGAATGACATTGACCTGTTAGAGTAGGTCCAGAGGAGGCCACGAAGGTGATCCGAGGGCTGGAGCACTTCTGCTGTGAGAGAAGAGAGTTGGGGTTCAGCCTGGAAAGAGAAGGCTCTGGGGAGACCTTAGAGCCCCTTCCAGTACCTAAAGGGGGGGCAACAAGGAAGCTGGAGAGGGACTTTTTACAAGGGCGTGTAGTGGTAGGACAAGGGGTAATGGCTTCAGACGGGAAGACGATAGATTTAGATTAGATATCAGGAAGATATCTAATTAGATTATTAGATATCTTGACTGTGAGGGTTGTGAGACACTGGAGCAAGTTGCCCAGAGAAGCTGTTGGCGCAAAGTTTTAATCCACAACTATGACTTTAAAGTCAAAGAGCTTATTTCTATCATTGCTGCTTGGTGTTTATTCTTAATCAAAGCATCACTTCAGAGGACAATAATATATACAGTGCTCAAGCCATAATGGCAAATAAGAGTTTCCAATTGCTAGTACCATTACAATCTTCATTCCATTGCACCTTTCATTTAATTTAAGTTTTATTCACAAAAAAAAAAAAAAGCCATAAGTAAATAAAGTCATCTAGAGGGATATATGCTGTTTAAGTTAAGGTTCTAATTTAATTTGTGTTGTGGATGTCCAAATTTCCCTACAGGGTGTCTGAATTCAGTTGCCACATTTCTGGGTGCTGCCAGGTCTTTGATACACTGGAGGGCTACGAGCACCACTACAACACGCTGCACAGGAACGTCTGCTCCTTCTGCAAGCGCTCCTTTCCCTCGGGGCATCTCTTGGATATTCACATCTTGGAGTGGCACGACTCACTTTTCCAGATAATGGCAGAGAAGCAAAACATGGTGAGTTGCTGTGCCCAGCCTTTCACTTGTGGTTGGCATGCACAGCGTGGTCTGGCACCGTTCAGGGAGGGCGCCATGTCCCCCCCTGACACCACTTGCCTTTTCCAATTGTGTCTTTTTTTTTCTTCCCCCCCTGCGTCCCACCTACCTTTCAGTACAAGTGTTTGGTGGAAGGCTGTGCAGAGAAGTTCAAGAGCAGCAAGGACAGAAAGGATCACTTGGTCACTGTTCACCTTTATCCTGCTGACTTTCGGTTTGATAGACCGAAGAAAGCCCAAAGGTAACCGCAGAACTACAATAGCACAACTGCTTTTCCTCTATAGAGCAGATGTTGTGCTTCTCTGCTGTCGTGCTCCCTTTCCAGAGTAAGCAAGCAGAGGCTCAGAAATTATGTTTTCTGCTGCTTGTAAGAACAGGTAAACTTGCAAGTCTTTCTGTGGCAATGATTTACTTTATCTTAGTGTTGAAACACATTGTATTTCTCTCCTTGTATGGCTTCAGGCTTTGCTTCCTTCATGCCATCTCAAGTGTAAACACAAAATCTGGCATTTCCTGCTTTGTTCTCCAACCCTTGCAATATTCCCGTTCTCCAAAACTCAGTGGAGAGCAGAGGGAAGCTTTGTAAGTCTGGCAAATGGCTTTCTCAGCTGGCTACTCATTTCAAGCACTGCTTTCACCACAGGGATTAATAGAATGTTGTTTAACAGAAACCTGGGTGATGGAATGAAGAAAAAATTTCTCACCTGACAGAGTTGGATGGTGCCCAAAGGGACAGGGGACTGGGTCTGTGGGGTCTTTCAAAGCTTGCTTGGGTAGCCTGGCCTGAACTCTCTGAGCCTGTTGAATGAGTTGCACTTTATGGACTGAAGAAAAGAACTTGGGGACAAAGCTGTGTGCTGTAATGCAGAGAGGGACCTGGGAGTCCTGCTGGACAAGAAGTTGCCCATGAGCCAGCCATGTGCCCTTGTGGCCAAGAAGGCCAATGGTCTCCTGGAGTGCGTTAAAAAGACCGTGGTCAGCGGGTCAAGGGAGGTCATCCTCCCCCTCCCCCTCTACTTTGCCCTGGGGAGGCTACATCTGGAGCACTGTGTCCAGTTCAAGAGAGACGGGGAAGTGCTGGAGAGAGTCCAGCAAGGGGCTACGAAGGTGATCAGGGGACTGAAGCAGCTCTGTGCTGAAGAAAGGCTGAGAGACCTGGGTAAGTTCAGCCTGGAGAGGAGAAGACTGAGAGGGGATCTTAGCAATGCTTATAAATATCTAAAGGGTGGGTGTCAAGAGGATGGGGCCAGACTCTTCAGTGGTGCCCAATGACAGGACAAGGGGCAACGGGCACAAACTGAAACACAGGAAATTCCATCTCAACATGAGGAAAAACTTATTTCCTTTGAGGGTGGCAGAGCCCTGGAAGAGGCTGCCCAGAGAGCGTGTGGAGTCTCCTCCTCTGGAGATACTCAAAATCAACCTGGACGCATTCCTGTCCAACCTGCTTTGGGTGACTCTGCTTTGGCAGCCCTGGGGATTGGACGGGTGATCTTGGAAGCTCCCTTCCAACTCCTACTATTGTGCAATTCTGTAACCCTGAATATTTAAAGTAGAAACTCATACAAGCCTATCACGCAGCTCTCCAGCAGCCTTTTGGCCTCTCCTGTTGGGTTGCACAGCCCACATACGGCCTCCATGTAATAACTCACCCAAGTTGGATTTGACCTTTTTCATCATGAAATACCTTTTAATTTCTTTTCCTCTGGGCATATGTGACTGCTGCTGAGAAAGTATGTACAATTTTCTCTCTGCAGTGGCCCCAAGCACGTGAGCTCTCCGATGAAGCAGGGTGCTGGCATGCCGATGGATGTGAGCATGGAGACATCGGAGCCATTCCCAGTGGACCCCACAGAAACAGGGCCCAGTGAGAACATGGAGATCCCTCAGCCTGCAGCCAGCCCCGGCCCTGAGGTGCCAGAGAAACGGCACTATAAATCCAGGTCTGTACTGTTGGCCTCCACAGGCAAAAATTTCTGGGGCTGGGACCATATCATCGTAATTGCATTTTCCATTCCCTAGTGCCATTCCCTGGCTCAGGGTGTTTCTGTGTTGAAGATAGAAGAGGTAGGATTTCCATGTGTGTTTTAAAAGAGGAAAGCATAAGGAAGGACAGAGTGTGCATACACCGTGAAAGCCGTGTCAATAAGCTTCTGGTAGTCTGCCCTGTTATGATCTCTTCCCAGGGTACTGCAGAATGGTGTGGGTCTGAAGATAAGAACTCTGCCCTAAAATACTCAAAACAAGTTTTGTTCCTGCTTTTTAACACTTTCCCATCTGAGCTGACTTGGGGTTGCGCTGGCACTTTTCACTGTACCTGTCTGTGTTCTCCCACACAGTCACAGGACAAGACACAAATAAAGCAGGTGAAAGGTGAACATACTGTTCTGAATCCTAGGTTTTGCAGTCAGGCCAGAGCCACATTGATGTTTTTTCTGGGTTGTTTTTTTTTTTTACATAAGTCTTACAGAAACTTGGAACTGAATTGCCTAATGTTGGCTTGACTTTTGAAATCCCCCTCATGGTGTGCTGTATAACCTGTACAAGACACAAGGAAGCCATCAAAAGGTCACGACCCTCTTCCCAGCACCCAGATAGGTGTAATTTTTTTCATAATTTTAATAATCTCTCAGCATATGCTTTTGCCTGAACCATTCCAGTTAGCAAAGCTATTCTTGTGTTTTGAGTTGCCCGCGTATGTGACACGTCTGGAAGCAGAATGAGCCCATGATCACACTGGAAAACCCTCTTCTGTCTTCAGCTCCCTCTCGCTTTTGCTGGCATCAGCATTTCACTCCACCTCTGTGAAATGCGGTGAGCTTTCAGGGCTTCCTAAGGAGTTGTGGAGTCTGAAAGCACTCTTAGTGCACTACAGCCAGTTGGGTCTGCTTTTGTGTGTCATGGTCTGCCTGACAAAATCCTGTCCAGACATTGGAATGGGCTGCCCAGGGAGGTGGTTGAGGCACCATCCCTGGAGGTGTTCAAAAGACGGGTTGATGTAGTGCTGGGAGATATGGTTTAGTGATGGTGATGCTTCTTTTTTGTTGTGTGGGTGTCTATTTTTGTCAAAGTTAGGTCGTCGGTTGGACAAGATGATCTTTAAGGTCCCTTTCAACCTAGAAGATTCTGTGATTCTTTGAATTCAACGGGGTGCTGCAGGCCAAAAGGAAAATGTGATGCTGAAAAGGCTGTGCTTTTACTGCTGCTTCTGCTCTCCTCTTCATCAATCGTGTGCTTCCGCAACAAACCACTGCAACTTCCCAGTGGCATTTTCTAACACCTTACACCCTGTTGTAAAGAGAGGAGAGCCCTCCAGAGCATAAATTAAATGTGCAGAATAAATGGGAAAGCAGACCAATATTTCACCCATTTTTTGAATTACACTTTGTTAATTTCCATGTCCTGCTCCTCTGATACCTTTTTGTTCCCAGAGTGGGAGCTTGAAATGCTGTACAAGGCATAAAGCATCCTGCTGATCTTGTGAGAGGTGGGACATTAATGTGTATTAAAGCCTATCTTCTCCCTTTCCAGGATCCCATCCACAATTTGCTTTGGACAAGGTGCCACCCGAGGATTTAAAGGACCAAGGAAGAAAGTGTGAAGGTCAGTGCACTAGATTTGTGCAAGATGAGAAATCACCAGCTGCTCTCGCCTGCAAACATTAGTGGTGGCACTGTGACCGAGCAGGGGTATTCACAGCTGGGTGCGAGGGTTGTGCTCCGTACAGGGAAGGCAGAAAGGTGAAAACAGGGATTTTGTGGCAGCAGTTTGGGATACATCAGTGCCTTGGGACATACTTTGCTACAGTCCCTTTGTGTCTCTGTACCACCCTCCCTTTGGCAGCATTTCAGAGCTGACTGGTGCTTATGTTTATCCTTCCTGACACACAACAGTCTCTTTTCCGATCCCCTCTGAAATCAAACTACAAATACATTTGTCTGCCTCCGTGCTGCGAGTGTTTGTGTCTCATCAGTGCCAGGACCGCTCTGGGCAGCAGTGGCATTCTAGAGAGACGGTCACACCTCACCTGAGCTTGCAAGTGTGGCAGATGTTGTTCTGAAACTCCAGGCAGCTGTGGTGATTGCATAAGCTTTGTGAAAAACTTGCAAGGAATCGCTGCCAAAGATGCAGCAGGGATAAGACCAAGCAAAACACGCTGTGTTCCCTCTTCCTGCAGGAAGCCCTGCATTGCCCCAGCCTCCTCAGCTGGTCTGGGGGCAGGGTGCCACACTTCCCTGCTAGCCCTGCATGTACAGAGGAGAATCAAAATCCAGAGGAAGAGCGGTCTAGATTACAGCAATTAATTTAATTATTTTAATTGAATTCTTTCATTTCCTCACAGTGTTTTTAAAAGCTCCCAGCAATGATAGCCCCATGCAGATGTGTGGTAGGTTGAACTCTGCATCAGTTGCTTGCAGAAAGTCTCAGGCTGTAGTGGAGTACTGTGACATGAAAGTGAGATGAGATCAGTTGCTGGAGCTGAGACTACGCAGGATTGGGGGTTTTTTTATTTTTTTTTTTTTTATTTTGGGAGGAAAAAATAGATTCAAGAAATTGCAAGATGAAATCTGTTGACTGTACAGAAGCTGGAACCACTGACAAAAAGAAAAAGCAGAGGAAAAAAAAAAAGCATAAGTCCTTAATTCTGACCTTTTCCATCTCACTGAAATCTGCTCTGGTCCCTGGTGCTTGCTCTGAAACCCACATGAGAGGTTTGCCTGTTACCTGAAACAGAAGCTTTCGAAACCAAGGGTACTTTAGAGAGGAGAGGCTGCTTTATTCGACGGTGGGTGCTAGGTGGAAATACACAAATCTGGCACACCTTACCGGGTACAGTCATCCATTATTTATACACAAAAGATTCTCATTATTCCCCTACCTAATCCGTAACTCCACCTGGGCTGACATATCCATCAGGATGACCCAACAGCCCTTTTGCACATGTGCATTACATTTTGCAGCGTCTGCAAAACACCTCTCTGCAGGCGTGGGCTCCTCGGTGGCCGTTTGTCCTCACGTTATCCTTTAAGGGATTGAGTCATCTCAGGACAGTAAAAGTTCACTGTAAGTTTGCCAAATTCTTGAGGAGGATAAGGATGTTCCTTGAAGTAGCCCCAGCTCTGTCCTAGTTGGTAGAGGAGGACATACAGTGACGTGTGGGAGAACCTGAAGTGATTGACTCCTCCTTGTTATCCCATCCTTAGCACTATCAGCTCATTTTCTCACACAGTAGGAAGCTCAGTAATTAACTCATTTTAGTTAGCATACGGTTATAAACAAAGCAGAGACCTGCCCTTGGTAACATGCCCAGGCCAGGAAAAGCATTCTGGTACCTTGCAGCTCATTTCTGTGGGGAGTTAAAATAAAGTGACTTCTAACTAGGTGAATAAATAAAAGGAATTTTTACAAAATTGCTTCATAGAGAATTTAAATGCTGTTTTGAAGTCCAGGCAGTCAGATGTAAAGAATGAACCTCTCCTTGCTCCAAATACTCCAAAAATCAGCTTGAGAATGAGGTTATTTTTCCTCTCGTCTTTCCCTTCCTTTTTAATCTCGCTCTGCCAGAAGAAAAGATTCATTGGAAGTACAGGCAGGCTCGTTGGGCTGCTGCCAGGTTTCAGGGTCCTGTTGAACCATGACACTTAGAAAATTGACCGTAAAGGGGAAAAAAAAAAGAGGTTGCTGGAATGGTATTTATCCAAGAAGCTTAGGATCTAGAATTGGGTTTTTTTTCCCTTCCCCCTCTCTGGGAGGAACAAAGGATAAAAAGGGCTTTGAAAAATCCTTGCAAATAGGAGCAAGGAATGATACTTAGAGAGACTTAGGCAATTTCCCTGTGAGTTTTAAAATGCTTTGCTCTGTTTAAATCTCAGCTGGCTTGTCCAGCCTTAATCCTTGCTCCTTGGCCCCTGGAGAGAACTGTCTCTGGCAGGCAAACCCTCTGGCTGGGATTGCTGCCAGAGGACAGCAGGCAGCCCCATGGTACAGACCAGCGTCTGTCACCACCTATGTGGCCACCACCCCCAGTGCTCCCAGTCCAGGTCTGCCCAAGGATGTCTGTCAGCAGGGACCAGCAATGATCAAAATCACTCTCCAACACTGGAAGCCCCTGATGAATCTTCCTTTACCTCCACTGGAATAACTGGAAATTTGAAGCAGGCCACACGGTTCTGGAAATGCCTGCAGGCTTTGGCATGTGACGGTACAAAGATCAGGCAGAAGTAGCCCAATCTACCCTCCCTTACATGTTTAGGTCCAAAGTTTCCGCCTGGAAATTCTTTCCTTCCTTTTTCCCAGACTCAGGACTCTGAGTGTCTGCCATTGCTATTAAAAAATTAATTAAAATTGCAATTACAGCCTCAGGGCTCATGACTAGTTCTCTTCTGGGTTACCAACTTTTTCCAGAGTCCATGGGTGAGTCTTTCCCAGCTGGCCAGTGGCTTTCAAAAATCCAAATTTCAAGCTAAAACTTGAATTTCCCTTTTTTTTAAAAAAAAATATATATTTTTTATAATTCCTTGTGGGATTTGGCATGAGCCCGGCCCTTGCTTGCTCGTGCAGGTGGGAGCAGGTGGAGTCACCCAGCAGGGGCCATCAGAAGGACATGTGTTGGCCAGATATACATGCCTGCAAGCAATCACAAGCACAGTGCAGGGCTTGGACAGCACGTGTGCACACAAACACACACACATATGTACAAGCATGCACAGCAGCCGCACACACACAATACACACATTTGCAGGCAAGTTCATACATGGTAGGAAAGGGATTTTTTTTAACACATTCAGAATGTACCCGAATGTGTCCCTGGCTGTGAGCAAAGCACTGCTCAGTCTCTCCAGCATCTGGATGGCAGAGCTGCTGCCAGGAGCTTGCCTTCACCAGGCCCCACATGAAAACAGGGTGCCCTCGGTGAAACATGGTGTAACCCATCCATGGAGATGGATCCCATCATGGTGGACATGGTTCAGAAGCAAGGGGAAGGGATGCAACCGACTTGGGGGAGTGCTGAATGCCACAGCAGGGGCAAGGCATCTACACCCACGCCAGCAGAGAAGTCAAGAGGTCCCCCCCCTGCAGCATCCCCCCCGCCCCGAGCAAGAGCAAGCAGCTCCATGCCAGAGGCCACCACCTTGTTGGGACATTTCCTGGGACTCCCCATCCTCGTGGAAGCTGCCAGGGCTTTTGGGGTGTGGGCTCAGGAGCACGTTCCTCCTCCCTCCCCCGCAGAGATTGTCAGCAGGACACAGACCTGCAGTGACCATTTTGGGGTTGCAAGGCTTTCCTGTGCTTTGCAATACAACCATGTATCTCCAGATACCAGAATACATGTTAAGAGATAGTAAGGGTTTAACATAAATGAATAAGTTGTAATCAAACCAAATTACTTGGGATTTAATATGGTGTGACTTGTGCTGTTTGCTTAGCTTTACTTAGCACAAGTAGCTACATATGCTGAAGCCTTGAAGCCACGAGAAAGTTACTCTTCTTGGCAATAGAGTGATTTAGCTTGGAAGGGACCTTAAAGATGATCTTGTTCCAAACCCCCTGCCATGGGCAGGGACACCTCCCACCAGCCCAGGTTGCTCCAAGCCCCCTCCAACCTGGCCTTGAACCCCTCCAGGGATGGGGCAGCCACAGCTTCTCCGGGCAACCTGGGCCAGGCTCTCACCACCCGCAGAGGGAAAAATGTCTTCCTGATACCTAATCTAAATTTACGCTCTTTCAGTTTGAAGCCATTACTCCTCATCCTACCACTACAGGCCTTGCTAAAAAGTCCCTCTCCAGCAGTTTTGACATCCCACTGATGTTTTGGTAGTGTTTCTCCCAAGTCTGGGACTCGTTAGTTCTCCGTGTTCTGCCAACAAGGGCAGGTGCACAAGGAGTGTAAAGCAGAAGTTACGGAGGCTCCAACCCTTGGCTGAAACTGCAAATCAACAAGATAAGATCCTGTCTGCCTGGAGACACAGGAAAATAATCCAATTAGATGTTAGAAGACCCCATACCAAAAATCACCATTGAACTAGAGGATGTGTGATGGGCAGGTGTAGAGATCACAAGGGTTTATTTGCCAAGGGATTTCTTTGTTTGGGATACCTGTCTTTGGAGGCCCCCAGCCCAGGCTGTCCTTGCTGTTGTACCTTCTAATTAAATTATATTTTTTTATGAAATCCAACACCTGAGACTCTGCTGTGGGAAACCAAGGGTCGAGCCTGAAGAAGGAGGATGCACGCCCAGGTGCGCGTGCGAGCGACACCATGAATGGTGTGTGAACACCTAGGCAGCAGTTTCTCCTTGAACAGGGGCAACCCATCTCCTTAGAGAGGCCTTCAGCCCAGGTGTGTGGCTGCTTCAAACTGCCCCACCGTTGTTTGATTTCAGAGGGCATATCTGAGTCTTTGTTTTCCCATGAGGGAGAAAAGCTTGCGCATTTTTCCACTTCAAGGTCAGGTGGGACAGGGCTTTTCCACCCGGCCTAGTGGAAGATGTCCCTGCCCACGGCAGGGGGGGAGGGCTGGACAATTCTGGAAGGTCCCCTCCAACCCAAAGGCTGCCTGGAGTCCATCTTCGGGAAAGGTTAGTCCCATGCCCCGTTCCCACCCAGTAGCACAGCCTGGCACCACCTAGCACCCCACAGGGTGCCCTGGGAGGCAGCCGCACCCAGCAGTGGGCAAAGTCCAGGGCAAAGGCTGGGGCAGCCCACGGGTGGCAGCCATGGAACGGTAGGTCTCTGCCCAGCTGAGCAGGGGGCTGGTGGCACGGGCAGGGGTGGGCAGAATGAGTTGTGGGTGCAGAGAGGGGCTGTGGGTGCAGGCAGGCACAGGCAGGGGCTGTGGGTGCAGAGGGGGGCTGTGGGTGCAGGCAGGCACAGGCAGGGGCTGTGGGTGCAGAGGGGGGCTGTGGGTGCAGGCAGGCACAGGCAGGGGCTGTGGGTGCAGGCAGGCACCAGCCAACTCCCCGGCCATCTCTCTGCCAGCCCGGCAGCCGTGCGTCTCTGCAGCATCGCCCTCCTGCTGGGAGCTGGCCTCCTCCTGCCTGCAGCTGGGGGCACCCAGGTGAGCCCCCACCCTCCACCTCACGCTCCGGTCACCGGTGGGCACAGGGAGACCCGTGCGTCATCTCTGCCACCCTCCTTCTCTCTCCCCACAGGCTCCCAGCGACACCGGGCGGAAGGACCTGGACACAGAAAGGGATCTGGCCAGGGAAATGTAAGAGGTGGCTCCCTGGTGGCTCTGGGCTCCCTGCACCGTCGGGTGCCCCCACCACTTGACAAAGTGACACCCCAAAACGTAAAGCGTTTCGGGGGGAAAATAAATTTCCCTCATTGCTTTACGTGCCCCCTCCCCCCACACACCTCAAAGATTAAAGGGCTCCCGGCTCCATCTTCCCTGCAAAATCACTTAAGCTTTCCGAACATGGTGTCCCTTCGCTGGCAGTGGCACCCCTGTCCCAGACCCGGCCCGCGGGATAAGCAGCACGGTTAGTCCGTTTGCTTGCTGAGATCCTAATTGCCTAATTGCAGCCTCCCTGGGGGGATGTCTCACCAGAGTTCCTACACCCTGATGGGGACTCCCCTGGGGCAGAGGGACGTTGAGCAACCCTGACCTTTCCTCTCGATTCTACTCTTCCAGCCTTCTGGGAATAAGAGCCGTGGAGCCGCCGGGGGAGGGTGAGATCACCAGTGAGGTGGAACCGGGTCTGAAGGGCTTTTCCAGCAGCGCCTGGGCTCAAGGGCGCCCCCTCCAGGCCCAGGTGGGACCAGAGGAGGACCGTGACCGGCTCTACCACCCCCGGGACGATGCTGGGGAGGCTGATGCCCAGAGGCCACCCCAGATGCTGTCCCTGGAGGTGCAGAGGGGCCCGGAGGAGGACCGCGACCATCTCTACCATGGCTGAGTTGGAGATGTGCCTGGGCTGCGAAGTGAGGGGTGGGAGTCACCTGAGGGAAATCGTCCCCTCCCTACCCACCTTCAAGCCTCCCCAATAAACCCATTTTTCCCTCCGTGTCCCGGTGGGCTCTTTATTGCTGCCAGAAACCTCTCACTAAATGCAGGGCCCCCAAATCAGAGGGATCAGCCTCCTTGGCCTGGCCCCAAGACCCCAAGCGGGATGAGGATGATGCCTCAGGGGCAGGGCGTGTCTCAGCCCATCATCCTGGCCTCAGTGCTGCCCAGGCACTGAGGAAACTCAGCACACTGGTGTTACTCCCAGGAAGGTCTCCTTCCCAGGGGACACAGGGACCTTATTGCTCCACAAGCCCAGCTCAGCATCAGAGAGCTGATGGAGCCGGGGTGTGTCAGTGAACCCCAACATTTCTCAGCTCAGGGGGGAACGGCACAGAAAGGAGGCCCCATCTCCCAGTAGCGCCAGGAAAACCTTTTAATAGCAATGGCAAATGCGGTCCCCGCCACTCATGGTCTCCCCCCAGGCCAGTATGGCTGCTGGCTGGGTGCCAGACCCCTCCATGGGGTGAGGCAGGGGGGCAGAGGGGACCTGCTCCCCCCTCCCTGGGCTTAGCTGTCGGTAAAGTTGGCCTTGCGCTTCTCCACAAACGCCGTCATCCCCTCCTTGCGGTCACCCTGTGAGGAATGGAGAGGGTGAGGTTTGGGGGGGAGCGGGAGGGGCTGGGGCAGCCCTGCTGTCTCCCTCCCACAACGGGACCGACCCCCTCCTACTCACGGTAGCAAAGGTGGCATAAAAAAGCCGCTTCTCTGTCCTGGTCCCCTCTGCCAGCGTCGTCTCGAAGGCTGAGAGCAAAGGAGAAGTTGGGGAGACCCCCCCTGCCTGGTCCCCCAGGGAGGGGTTCCCAGTTGCCCTCCCAGCCCCTACCGGCATTGACTGACTCCTTTGCCATGGCGGCCACCAGCTTGGAGTTGCTGGCGATCTTCTCAGCGCAGGCGATGGCTGCGTCCACTAGCGTTTCCACGGGGAAGACCTTGCTCACCAGCCCTGGGATGGAGGATGGGAGGTGGTGGGGTGGTGGAGGGCCTCCCTGCCAGACCCCCACCAGGCCGGGGCTGCCCCATGCCCCCTACCTGCCTCTTTCGCCTCCGCTGCTGAAATCCGGTCCCCAGTGAGGACCATCTCCATGGCCAGTGACTTCCCCACTGCCCTGGTCAACCTCTGCGTCCCTCCAGCACCTGGAGGTGTTTGGAGAAGGGAAAGGTCCAGAGAGGGACAACTTTGGTATCCCTGCTGTCCCTGCTCTGGCTGGGAGTGGTGGGTGTCCCCCCATCCCACTCACCTGGGATGGTCCCCAGCAGGATTTCGGGTTGCCCGAACTGTGCTTTCTCACCAGCGTAGATGATGTCGCACATCATGGCCAGCTCACACCCGCCACCCAGCTGGGAGCAGAGAGGAAGAGGAGGGGTTGGGGGTGCTGAGGGCTGAGCCACGGAGGGCACAGGGGGAGGACAGGGGGGGACACTCACAGCGAAGCCGTTGACGGCAGCGATGATGGGTTTGCGGATGGTGGAGACCTTGTCCCAGCCGGCAAGGAAGCTGCTGCTGTAACACTCCTGGAAGGTTTTACTCTGCATCTCCTTGATATCGGCACCAGCTGCAAAGAGAAACCGGGTGGGGACACTGATTCCACACACACATACCCCCCCAGACAATATGGGGTGGAGGGAGGCACCCCGCCCCTACCTGCGAAGGCTTTTTGGCTGCCAGTGATGACGATGGCCCCCACCTGGGGGTCATTCTCCAGGTCCTCCAGCGCCCGCCGCAGCTCCTCCATCAGCCCCTCGCAGAGGGCATTGAGCGCCTGCGGCCGGTTCAGCTGGACCAGCCCCACGCTCTGCCGCGCGCCCGTCTTCTGCACCACCAGGTACTGGAACGGGGACCCTGACACCCACACCGTCAGGCCACCGGTTGCCTTCCACCGGCCAAGACCCCATCACCACCACCCGCCCTCTGCCCGGGCTCGGTTGCCGGGCTATTTTAAGACGCCCTTCGTGGCGGCAGGCGCGTGCCAGCGGTCACCGGCAGCTGCCACCCCCAGGGGCAGGGGAGGCGGGGAGCTGCCGGTGCCATCCCGGGCCGGGAAGGTGCAGCCTGGTGACCACCGCACTGCGCCGGGCCGGTGCGTGGGGCTGGGACCCGGTGCCCGGAACAGAGCCCCGGTGCCGGGACCATCCACGGTGCTGGGACCCGGCAGCGGACCGCGCGCGGTGCTGCGCCCGGTGCGCCGGCCTGAGCCCCTGCCCGGTGCTGGGACTCGGCGCCTGCTGCCGGGACCGTAGGGGGTGACGGGACCTGCTGCGCGCTCCAAGGCACCCGCTGGCACGGTGCCGCGCACAGCCTGAGGCATCCGGTGGACGGACTCGGGACGGTAGAGGGGGCTGAGCCTCGGTACAGCGCACCCACGGCGCCGGGACGCGGTGTCACCGCCCCTCCCCACCCCCCCGGTGCCCCGCTCACCGGCGCTGCAGGCTCGCGCCCCCGGGAGGGGCCGGGGCGGCGGGAGGAGCGCGCGGCGGGAGGGGCACACGGCGGCGGCGGCGGGCCGGAGGAAAGCGCGCAGCGAGGCGGCCATGG